ATGTTGCTGTTTTTTGTTTATTTTTCTTTCATTTCTAAATTTTGCTACACACATTAGCAGTGTTAGGTAAGATAAGTAAGTGCGCGATGATCGGTAGAAAACCCGAAAAGAAGAAGATTTCAGGGGTGATCGTAATGTTTCTTCGGGATGCGCCATCCACTCTACTCCTCTCCAGAAAAAAAGAAATTCTTAGCACACCACAATTCGTCCCACACAATGATTTGCGAAACGCAGCTAGTGTTCAACTCAATGTTGAAATCCTTCCCAACAACTTATTGGTTGACCAGACTCCTGCACAGCCTGGGGGATCAAACCTCTGGAAGGCTCCTAATAGCTGCGTTATCTCCGCCATTTTTATTAAACCGTTAATGGGAAAGAAAAACAGGTGAAGTAACACATCCGCTAAACTTGCGGCCCCTCGATCACGTCCTGGTTCCGGGAGCGGAATGGGGTGGGGTGAAATTATGGCTAAAAAGACGGCACCTGATTTTCTCGACTCCATGCTTCTTCCCCAGAGTCTCCGCCAAAACTTCTCGAATACGAGCCCTCTCCCACAACCACAACTCGACCTTTTTCACTTTTTGATCTTCCCCAACCCCAAATACTACCCGCGACCGCTGAGAATCGCACCAAACGTCTTTCCCATTTTAGCTCTTGCAAAAAACCTAGCGTACGAAATCTATAGACTTGTGTGCCGCGCAGCGGTGCGTTCAATTGACGTTTGTCTACTGTAGGGTAGGCTAGGCGTCCTTTTGTTGAACTCTTGTGCAAATGAACGGCCTATCTGTGATTTTACGTCGCTATGCTTTCTTTTCGCTCTAATTTTGTCTAAAATGCGTTCTTAATGAAGTTTGGCGCGCTTTGGATGTTCTTTTCAACTTTGCGTATGTTTCAGGTATGGGTAAAAAAGAAAAGAAAGCAAAGAAGGCTATAATTTCCGAGGAGAATACAGAGGTGTCATCTATTCCAAAAGAGAAGACAAAAAAAGCTCGTGTGAAGTTTGCTGAAGATGATTCTGTGGATAAAACGGCTGAAGCGGCGACATCTTCGACTGAAAAGGCTAAGGTAATTTTATTACGTTCTCGGGGCAAAATTCTGGGGTTTGTAAAAGAATTTCATTTAAGTCCGCCACAGTGGAGATTGAAACTGACGTTCATGGAAAACGAAAGCGAAAACGTCTCCGTAAAAACAAGCTGATGTGAGTGAATCGTTTTTTTTTCTTGCTAGAATAAAGGTCTGCACTTTTCTTCATAATTTCACTCAAATGGGGGTGCTAGCAAGGGTCTCAACCGGAGTGAGGTTTACCTAAAGAGCATTCAGACGAATGGATATTAAAATGTTGCGTACTTTTTTGGGACTTGGAGTCAACTCTAAAGTACCTCACGTTTGAAAACGATTCAGTTCCAGTTGGGACTCGAGTTAGCATTTCATGATGGCTACACGAAAGTTCATGAGTAATTTAACCCTTTCCGGACCGCGCACTTTTGCCGTGGCGGGCGCGTGTGGCCGGCGCCTTTTTATGCTTACCGCCGCGTGCTGCGCGGCGAATATAAATATAATATATTTGACCTGTATTTCCATCAACACCATTATTTTATCCCGTTTTGTATTTGTCATGTCTAAAGGTATCTATGTGAATTTGACTAAAAACTGTTGATAAAAAACATGTGGGAACAGGGCCATAGAAAGGAGGTAGGTAGAGGAGATGAAAAGTTTTGTCTTCGAGATTAGATAAGGGCGTGATTTGTTTAGTGGTGGTGGGGTGAAAGCAGAGGGACGAGGGAGCCAGAAAGTGTCCGAAACGTTTGGATGCAATAGCATCAGATACGACGTGCACGTGATGGCATAAATTCTGTTGTATGAAGTGTTTTCAAATGATTTATAACTGTTTTCTTTGAGCTCGAAAGTGGAAATCCATTTAGTTTTTGGTTATTTTAGGAACTAGTTTGAGATTGAAGTCTAGGTTTTTTCATACGTACGACATGAGTATGTTACATAGATATGTAACAACATAAAACATTTTGTCGAATCCTCTGAAAAATCAGCCCTGACACCCCATGGGTGTCAGGCGGCCACAGGGAGCAAATTGGGCCTGACACCCCATGGGTGTCAGGCGGTCCGGACAGGGTTAACAAAGTTCCTTACTCGTTCACTTCTCGACGTTGTTTTATTTCCCGATTTTCATATTTTTATGCGTTCTGGTTTTAGCTGACAAAACTTAGTGTAAATTAAATGCGGGGACTAATTTGCCGTAAATCCGCTCATGGCGAGGGAACTTGGGCTACTGCTGTCTCGTTCGTCGAGTTTTGAGAAACTATGTCTATCCGTCATTTGAAGTTCCTTTGATCTCGGATCCTGCTTTACTCTCTAGAAAACAATTCGAAGGATTGAAGAGAGCCAAGCTCGATGTGGTTACTCCAGAAGTTGGTGCGAAGACATTCAATGACTTCGATATTGACGAGAGATTACTTAAGGTATTTTCCGCGAATCTGCTCTTCTCAATTTCTTGAATCAGATATTTCCCTTCCAAAACATCAGTCATCGCCTTGCAGGCAATCGGCAATATGGGCTGGAAGTGGCCGACTCAGGTGCAGGAGTCCATCTTCGGTCTTGCTCTTGAGGATAAAAATATACTGGCGAGAGCTCGAACGGGAAGCGGAAAAACGGGAGCCTATCTGATTCCTATTGTTAACAAAGCTATCGGTTATGCAACTGTGAGTTCGGCATTGTGCCCCCATGACTTGCTTTCTACCATCCATAATTTTCAGACATTGTCTGGTGAGTCAAAGGGTCCGTTTGCTTTGTTCATTGCGCCCACGAAAGAGCTTTGCGTACAGGTAACTCATGATATTTTGAATTGAAAAATGTGCAGGCTTTATTGATCTGTTACAGATTAATGACCTTTTGCTAAAACTACTTCAACCGCTACCATTCTTGCGGTCCCTCAACTTGGCTGATTTAACGTCAGACGAAAAATCGGTCTGGGAGAATGTGAGTTGTTTGTGGTTCAGCACTGCCTAGTTCCTGCGTTACCATAATCCTACTGGGATTTATTCCACATTCAATACTAGTAAAACTTTTCAGGATACTGCTAATTTCGTTGTTTCCACCCCTGGGAAAATATTGGAGGTATTGGCAGTTCGCCGACATTTTTGTGAAGACGTTCGTCATCTTGTGCTCGACGAAGCCGATCTTCTGCTATCTTTCGGTTACGAAGATGAAATGAGGTCCTTATTATGAACAGCATCACCTGAAACCGTGAGAAATTTCAACTTAGGTTTCAGCTCTCTCAAGAAGTTCCTCCCCGTCAAGTATCAGTGCATACTGACGTCAGCTACTATCACTGACGATATGAGTTCATTGAAAAGCCTGTTTATGACAGGGCCGGTACTCACGCTCAAGTTGAAGGTCAGCAGAGGCTCATGATTGTTTGCCTTCTGTCACGACTTTTCGTAGTTAGTGAAGAAAGGTTGCTCATGTTTAGGAAGGAGACCTACCAGATGTGGATCAGCTTACGCAGTACCAAATAACATGTTTGGATGATAACGAGCGGTTCGCGATACTCGTTGCAATGTTCAAGTTACGATTGATCGTTGGCAAAACGATTATATTCGTTAATGACACCAATAGATGCTATATGTAAGTTTTTTATAAGTTCGCATTATCTCCCTTTTGACACTCATGGAATGGTTATCAGTATTGCTGGTAAGGGTTTCTAAGATGGCCATCCTCCTCACTTTATTCATTCCTTTTTCTCTTTCGTGTAAAAAGGGAAGAATTAACAATTGGTTTTCTAACGTGATAAATGCTTCAAGCCTTTTTAGGACATCACTTGTTTTGCGTTCATTTGGATTGAAGTCTGGTATTCTGAACTCTTGTATGCCGGCGAATTCACGATTCCATGTGATCAATCAGTACAATAACGGTGCCTTCGACATAGTGATCGCGTCTGATGCGACGGATGCCTTCGATAACGAAACTGCTAAACCGAAAGAGGTATTTCAACTTTGTCCTGATCTGCTACATTCTTCTAACTATCTATCTATTTACTATTTTGCCGTTTTGTCGTGGGGAAACTATTTTAATTTTGTGAGTTAAGTAGAACTACTTACCTTCTTATCCGTTATTTATGCTCTCACCTCTACTCTAAATTATATTTCAACCTATGATGAATTGAAAACGAAATTGCGAAACAAAATATTGCCAATTAATGTCTTGAAATGAGGCATTCTAACTAACACGATTGGTGGGCAGGGGTCATTATCTGAAAGCAAGGAGGTTCAGGACGAACCGACACGGACCGATAGCGGAGGTTAGCATCGAGTTAGTTTTCTTAAAATTTGTGGGAAGTATCAAGTCGAGGAAATTGTGAAAGGCCTTCAATCACCATTCAGGGTCTGGTCTCGATATCATCCTTTTTTTTTTCAAAAAAAAAAACTTTCTTCGAACTTTCAGCCATCGCGGCGCGACAAGGAATCAGGTGTTTCCCGAGGTATCGATTTCCATCAAGTGGGAAATGTTGTAAATTTGGATTTTCCCACATCCACTGACAACTACATCCATCGCGTGGGAAGGTACGTCTATGGCTTTCAAGCTGAACAGTCAAAACGTCCGCATCTAGAGATACAAGAATCACCTAATCATTGTAGTAACTACTTATTTCTTTAGAACAGCCAGAGGGCGCAATAAAGGCACTGCGTTGTCTTTTTGCACTCCTAGCGAGAGAGTATACCTAGACACTGTCCAGGAGGAAATCAACACACATCACATAAGTAGTCTCAGATCGCTTATGGCACCATGTCTTTATGAAAACTATTTCGCTCATTTTATTTTTATAATCTCTTAGTGGGTCGCAAGGTCATAATTCCATATGAGATTCGTATCAATGAGCTCGATTCCTTCGTGCTGAGAGTAAAGGTGGGCTTTTTGGACAATTTCTGCTTCATTTTTGACTTTTGTATATTCAACTTCTTGTTTACATGACACTGAAGTTTTCTAGGAGGTGCTTTCAAAATGTGGCAAAACAGTGATAAAAGCGGCTAGAATGCAGGAAATAAAACTGGAGGTAAGGTTTTCAATCGTTCTGTTTATTCGATTGCTATATATGATTACACTATGATTCAGGAAGATCTACTTTTTTATTAGTTTCTTTAACACTTTCTTATAAAACTGGCTGCAACCGTGTGAGGCTCTTAACATTCTAACTCAAAGTTCGATAAGCCTTACCGCGAGAAATTCAGCTTTTCTACCCTTCTAAGATTGCGGACCAAAAATTTCGGAGCCTGATACTGTTGTTGCCCACCGCGAAGCTTCCAAGCGAGCCATACCTCAATAATATACTAGTTTATGGACAGGGCATTCGATTATTGTCAGAAATTCTACACAACTTATTTTCTGAACAAATGGTTGTTTTGAGAATTAGGGGAGTAAATGGTGATTTCAGATGATGAGGTCGGCAAAGTTGCAGTCTTTCTTTGCAAACAATCCCAGAGAAAAGATATTGATGGAGACAAGCACTCGACCCACTACGCTCGCTGTGCATACCAATGCCATAGCCGATGTACCTGAGTATATGGGTACGTTTAATTCACTATGGGATTTCTTGTTTAATATGTATTAGGCTTCTGTCATTACATATGTTGACAGTCAGTTGCTAAATGCACACGGTGATTTGTTTTGAACACCAGTGCTCTTCTTTCAGTGCCGAAGTCTTTACGTGGGATCAACTATTCTATTAGTCGGAAGAAAAAATCAAAACCCGGTCAGAAACATCGGCGCAAGATTCAAGGAAAGTCTACCGGTCAAAAAGTTCACAACCGTCAGAAAAATGATCCATTACGAAGTTTTAAAATATAATTGTTATATACCTCTATTTGTTATTTATAAACACAACGTCTGTTGATCGATTGATTAGTTAGCATATATATTCATCAATGACTAGTTCATCCCGAGTCACAAGTAACGCCCCCTGCTACATATAATCAGCTACCGATGAAATTTTTTGCTATGGTGCGCCTGGACAAGTAAACGCCAAGAGCATGCATAATGGGATGTCTTTGTTGCACTTGCTTTCAAAAATGGAGTGAGCAAGGATTTGAATGTTTTTAATCCCCGCCGACTGCGGCATCATTCCAACAAATGTCATGCTTCGACTGGTAACACATTACGCAGACAGTCTAAAAGACAGTGCCGCTTAGAGTGAAGTGCTCTCCCGGTGTGGGAAGCGGATTCGCACACACTGGTGGGCGGAGCGGTTTTGTGGTGTAACGGTTTTTATGTTTGGAGCCGTACTGCGCTATAGCTGGCTCGCCGCGAAAAGGCACACACTCCTTTCCTGCATGGCTACTTCCAGTGGCGCATATACTTCTCCGGTTCGCTCCCGATTTTTAGGGCGCTGAATCTTAAGACCGTGATTGAGCAACGTCATTCGATCAGAAACATGCTCACCTTCATGACTGCTAAACTCATTTCCCCTCTACTGCTCTTTATTACGATAGCTCGCCTTCTCGGCTGACCCCGGGAAGGCTTTCCAAAAATTAAACATCCTCACACCTCGCAGGTGAAGGACGACGACCAGTAGTACCTTGATGCTACTCGGGCCTTAACCGCTGTTTGAGCACCACATGTCGACGTTACTGCGGCCTGCGCCGTACTGCTCACGGGTGATAGCCGCCACAGGAATGACCACTGAAGCGGCATCGTACAACGAATTGATCCAGAAATATATAACATCAGTACGGCGGAAAAATCATAGCTGTTACACTCATAGTGATTATAACTCTACTGGCGATCGTGTAATTATGGTCCTTCAATGGGATTCATCTCTGTCAGGAAGATAACTACAAATCATTAAATCAGTCAGTCCCTTTTCGAATGCGCCACGCATCGGACTGCCAACTTCTGATTGTTGGAACGTTTGGCTATGTATTTGGTCAATGAGTTACGGAGCCGCCAAAGTACAAATCAAGTTTTATTTGAATACGATGCTTCCGAAGGTGTCACTTAACCATTGTTGAATTCACGAGCCCCTCCTGAGAAACTCAGCGAGAGGTGCCTATCAAAATATGCCCAGCGTTAACGACCAACCGCGCTAGTTGGGAGGCTCTGTGGATAGTGGATTCAGATAATTCAAGAGGGCAACTCAAGCTTCAGAAGCCGACAGACGGCAATTGGGGCTCTGAGTGCTTTTGAAGTCGTCTCGTTCACAAGCAGCCATGTACCAGCAGTAGATAAACAATATTTCCATTGGCATAATTCGCACCTTCCAGGCTATGGAAAAATTGCACAGGTCGGAATAACCCTTCGAGACGAGTAGAGTGAGGCAGGCTGCTTGGACACGAGCTTTTGTGAATATCTGACAAATATTGCTCTCTAGAAAGTTTCATTTCGGTCGCCTCGACAAGGCGTCTCCGGATATGAGATGATTGTACTTTGTGTAAGCAAATAACGAAGACTTCACTGGATAGAGCCAAAAAGAGCTCTGGAGAGTTGCTCTCACCTGGAGCAGATAGCGTTCTTCGCTCGCTGAAGTGCCTCAGTACAGACCTCAAACGACGACCATTAATGTTGGGACCACCTGTAGATGAACTTATTCACTGGTAGAAGCAGTCTGTGACCACATTCCGAGGGCGAAAGCCTTAGGAATGTGTATTACTTTTTTTAGAGGTTCCACAA